CTTGGGATAATAAAATATGAGTTTTTTAAGCATCATAATCAAGTTACGTAACCATTAGTCCTAATCTTTCGATTAAGGGTCATTAACGTTTAACCCTTCAAGGAAAGCAAGACTAGGGTTGCGTAATCTGACATGTCTGGTTATTTTCAATGATGTTTCTAATTTCACTCAAATTCACCCAAAATATTACATTAAGCTCTTCAAATTAACCAGAGATGTCAGATTAACGCAAACCCAGTCTTGCTTATCCTTGGAGGGTTAAATGTTAATGAACCTTGAAGGAAAGGTTAGGACTAATTGTTTCGTAACTTGATTATCATGCTTAAAATAACTCAAATTTCATTATCCCAACAATACTGATCTACGGACTTAAACAGTCCCAGGCGAAGATTTCCTCTTTAATTATTAGGTCTTAAGGATCAGAACAAGAGATTTAATCTTTGACAAGTGTGATTTAAGAACCGTATTGCCTATTAGGTCTTAAGGATCAGAACAGGAGATTTAATCTTTGACAAGTCTGATTTAGGAACCGTATTGCATATTTAGGTCTTAAGGATCAGAACAAGAGATTTAATCTTTGACAAGTCTGATTTAGGAACCGTATTGCATATAAGTCTTAAGGATCAGTAGAAGAGATTTAATCTTTGACAAGTCTGATTTAAGAACCGTATTGCATATAGACGGCTAATATAGAACAAGAGATTCAATCTTTGACAAGTCTGATTTAAGAACCGTATTACATATAGACTCAAATAAACACGCAAATATGGGATTTAATCTTTGACAAGTCTGATTTAAGAACCGTATTGCATATAGACTCAAATAAACACGCAAATATGCACTTCAATCTTTGACAAGTCTGATTTAAGAACCGTATTGCATATAGACGCAAATAAACACGCAAATATGCATTCTAAAATAACAGAACGAATATGAAAGAAAATTAGCCAAACCACTCCATTTCGATCTGTCTAGATTTGTAATTTTTAATCTGTAGACTCGACTGAGTGTATATAAGTAGTAAGATGAAGCCGGATAGTGTTCTTGCTTTTGTGTTAACGTGAGACTCTTACAAGAATGACACCCAGCGCTGACGATGTCCATCATATATGCTGGACGAAAGCTCAGCACGTTTTCACCCGAAACGAGGAAGGAATACTCGTGGACTGCGTCAACATGAATA